ATTCAGTGCTTGATACCTGAAGCAGGGGTTCCATGCGATTGGTGCCGACACCACGACTCTGAATGTACTTTCAACAGAGAAGCTCCGCGTAAATCAAAGCAGAACAGGTAAAATCAACTGATTTGCTGGGGAAGCTCCCCTGTTATTATAACGCTAATTCTTCAATCAGGCTAAAATTGACGGACGTCCATGACTTGTATCAGCGCATTCAGCACTTGGAGTCGGCACTGGCACAGGCAACTGCGCAGCCGCTGGGGCGTGATGATGCGCTGAACTTCGTCACCCCCACAAGCTGCTCCGTAGAGACGCCGGCTTCTTCAGCGACCCCAGCAGCGACTGAACTCACGCCCGCGTTTCATTCAGTCCGAGGAACAGAATTTCCAGGCTTGCGACAATCTCCAAGTTCCGTGACCTCTATCCCAACTTCCGATTTTCCCTGCTTTGCCTCTCATATCGGCCCAAACTGGTTCTTCAGAGGCATACATGCTTTCTCTGAAGAGGGTCGCCAATGGATTTCTTCCAGAACGGGCCAGACCGTCGACTTGAGGAAGCTGCGACTGTTCACATCCAATTATGCGCCATCAACGAGTTTCTCTTCCACGTTTCCCGGAGTATCAAGCTTGCCTGACAAACAAGTTCTGCGTGAGCTTGCGTCATCATTCTTAATGTCCCCTTTGTGGCTCTCATTCCCAGTAATTGATCGTTTCTCTTTCGACGAGACACTCGACATCGCATATGGCATGTCAGACGATAGGCCTAGTTCACCTACCCAGCTCGCGGCTCTGGCGTCTGTTTTGGGCATCTTGAGTCTAATGAGCCACTGCAAAGATTTGGGCAATGGCTACTCTGGTATTGATGCGAATGGTTGTGCCAACAAAGCTCGTCAGTAGTTGATAAGTCTTACCGGACATCACAGCGTAACAATACTTGAATGTTTACTGGCTTTAGTAAGTCTTCCTTATTGCGCCTCTAGTTCTTAATTAATGACGAAGCTTACTGAAGACCATGTCAGTATACCCATTCGACGCTAGATGGCCACTGGCAAGAAGCTGGCTTCTATCTTCCTCTCGCCTGCAGCATGGTGTCTGCCTTAGGGGGACACACCTCTGCTTCGAACAATACACCAGACGATGGGACCACTCTATCTGCGAAGAAGAGACTTCACCTTCGGAATCTCTTCTGGATATGCTATGTTGCAGACAAGGACTTGGCGCTGCGCACTGGAAGACCGCCCCTCTTATCAGCTGTTTTCTGTGATGTGTCTATTCCAAAAGATTATGACCAACACTACGCCTACCTTCGATCCTTCGATGAGCCATTAGACCGCCAGAGTTCGGTTGGCGATGGGCCAGTTCCGCATTTCTCGGGCGATCTCGTCCTTAGTCAAACTAAAGAGAAGGTTTACAGGCTTCTGTACTCCCCGGCGGTCAGCGAAGCTAAGGACACGACTCTGCTTCTACATATCCGGGAATTAGATGAAGAGATTGAACGCTGGAGACTGTCGATACCGCTAGACTTTCGACCGGCATTATCAGCCTCTCCGCAAACCCTTCTCGCAACATCCCAAACAAACCCTCGGCAATACACCAAGTGTTTTGCCTTGCAATTGGAGTATCTGCATATGATGACCTTTGTACATACCACTGTAAGGAAGTACGACGCCGACGACAGCCAGATTGATGGTCCACTTGATCTACATAGCGTGATTCACTCGAGCTACGTCCTGTCTCTTGAGGCTGGCCGATCTATCCTTCGGTGTCTGAGCCTATTTCTCTCAAATATGACATCATGGAGTCTATGGTTTGTGAACCTGATCGTGTGACTTATGGCCTTGCTGACCAGAAATCCAGGTCGTGTATACACCACGCCACGAACGCTGCCATATCACTCTTCTTGGATATGGTCATCCATCCGTACAGCCCAAACGGATCTCTTGATCTTGAGCTTCTCATCTCTGCCGCGAATACCATCAAGTCCCTCGCAAACAGGGTTCGGACTTCCGTTGAAGCTGACCAAGTTCAAGAAACGGGCGACTTTTTCATGTGGTTAATGTGGCTGGGGTCATGCGCAATAGCAAAAGCAAAGGAAGCATCTATCAATCTAGCATCGTAGCTATAATTTGTGGAAATTAAAGCCGCGCTTGTATCGCAACTTGACTGACGACGATAAAGTCTACGCCCTGGACTCTAAGCTGTCTAGCCAATGTCTCGTGTACAAGTTTACCGATACATCCAAACTTGAAGTAAAATCACACAGTCCTCCAAAATGGTTCCAAGTGACCCAAAAAGCCACGGCAAACTCGTCAGGAGGTATTCCCTCTCTTGATTGTATGCGATCACACTGAGACCATACATCAAATTGCCCAGAATGGACAGAAAGAGGAAAAGAGGTGCTAGGCCTGGGAATATGTGAGCGCATGTGTGATATCAGTTGCCCATAGCTTTAGGAGACTTACCTGCACAGGACCTGCCCCTGTAGTTTTTGATGATCTGAGGCACCCGAGCACTTCATCAATTAGCGATTTCTTCGGCGATAGGCCTCATTCAACATACCACAAATAGCAGAGGGCCCCAAAATACCCCAGCACCGAACCAAACACTTCAATCGCCGACTTTGAGTCATCTGCCTTTGCGGTGAAAGCGTACAGACTGTTCGTTAAAATACCAGCTTTGTACAGCAAAGCCCAGCCAGCTACTCCAGCCAGCTGCACCAGCACGATGCATACAACACTGTAACGCCAATGGAAAATGCTCGCGTTCACGTCTCTTTCGACCTCGTGGCTGCTGGGGAATGACTCGATGCCTAATGCCGAGGCGTGGTGGGGCGCCACACCCTCTGTGTCGTTAATGTCGGTTGATATTAGTGGCTGTCTTTCTTGACTCATCGTCGCAGTCTCTTGAACGCGTTTTCGACTCAAATGGTTATAATACAAGCATTGGCAGATGAGTGTCGAATCAGAAACGCAAAGATAGGCGGATACGGCCAGACTTGCAGGTGCGATATGGTTGACGATACCTCCTGCATATTACACACGCATGTCAGATCTTGCTCGGGAGATGTCGGAAGATTTGCCTACCCAATAGATTCGACACATCTCCCAGTAACCACACAAATAGGAATGCCATGGATAAGCTGTCTGCACTCTGACGCTGGTAGTTGGTGATGAGTTGGGGAAACTGGTGGAGCTCAGCACGCTGATCGGTGATGGTGGGAAGGAATCTGTCAGTCATTTACCAAGAGACATAGAAATGCAGCCATGCTAATACTGCCCAGTATCTCGGACGCATCTTTGCCGTTTATCTGACCTGGCGAGAGGCCCCAAAGTGTCGCGGAGGAGTCCATGTTTGGAGATGGACGTGTAGATGAAAAGTTCAAGTTTCGGTAGGGTGGCTGCATGACTCCGAGATAAGAGAGACAATCATCCGATCAAGAGGGGACCAATTGGATTGACTTATCGATGACGCTCAACGGTGAGCTGGCTGACTCATCAAAAGATGTCTCTACTGGCTCGCCAACTAAGAAAATCCCAGCTCATCTCTGTAACTATTTTAGGCTACGCCAGCGCCTCAGGTGAGCGAATTAAAGCTAGCTCTCTCAACCGCCTGTTGCAAACGCCTTTATTTCCAAGCCACTTGCAACGAGTTAAATCGGACCGGAGTCGGTCACGAATCAAGTCAGCCTAGTGCCGTAAGAAAGGACATGTGACCATGCTTTTCTCTATTTGAGGTACCACATGCGGGCCTTTCTCCCGTGTCGCATCTTCCTTTGCAACTGCATCATTCCGTACAGCAATGCCTCTGCCGTCGGAGGACATCCAGGCACATATATATCAACGGGAACAATGCGATCAGCTCCTCGCATGATAGAGTAACTGTAATGGTAGTATCCTCCTCCATTGGCGCAGCTGCCCATACTGATGACCCATCTGGGCTCGGGCATTTGATCGTAGACCTGGCGAAATGCCGGCGCCATCTTGTTGGTCAACGTGCCGGCCACAATAAGGACATCCGCCTGCCGGGGTGAAGCTCGAAACATGTATCCGAATCTATCTTGATCGCATCGCGGGCCTGCAATATGCATCATTTCAACGGCGCAGCAGGCAAGGCCAAACGTCATAGGCCACATTGAGCACTGGCGGCCCCAGTCGGCGATGATGTCGAGCGAAGTGCTGAAGCGAAGACCCTGGTCAGCTTGTAGTATTGGTAAAAGAAGGAAAGGGCAGTGACTGACACTAGATATTCGACAAGCGATTTGGGCTTCGCTTGGGAAGGGAGCGCGACTTCTCGCCGGCCTGCTCGCGGCGAGACGCTTGGCGGAGCGGAAGAATTGGTGACATGTCGGCCCAAGACTAATGGGAAATCGCCGGTTTTTATCAATCCCAATGGACGAATACGACGCAAAGAAAGAACTTGACAAGTTTCACGGCTCTTGTTGGAAAGAGTGAAAACAAGTGAACAGAGAATTCAACATGGACGGAAGAGCTCACACGGGCGCTCGCTTACATTAAAGAGGTTGCCCATCTCTAGAAGGGCCTGAGCCGGCAACACAGCGGTGCAAAAGAATCCCTGAAGTCCCCAAACTCTTTATGATATTGATCAAACATATCTTGCCAGAATCATCGAAAACCTGATTGGCATGCCGGTCTCCGTCAATCTCCCGTCCCTCTGAGATGTCATCCGAGGATGGCCGTAAGACACCGCGGGGTCCACTTCGGACTCGTCGCGAGAACGAAGTGGGGCTTTCCGAGGTTGGATGGCAGAGCTTGGGCTGCTGGGCGACTGAAGCACGCAGACCTGAAGTCTCGGCGGACTCATCCATCCACATCAGCGCCGCAGATTTCGACTGATCGAATTGAGCACATTGCAATCGGTCAGTATCATCTACCTGGTTATTGGTCGGCTCTTGGTCCCAGCCTGGGGTTGAAACAAGTTGAACAATCACTTCATTTGTAGCGCCGTTGCCTCGGCCATGACCATATGCCTTCAAGTCAACTCCCGAACATGGAGGACCTACCTACACTGCGTCGCGGGCCCAAAAAGAATCACCGGAAGGTTCGCACAGGATGTACAACATGCAAAAGGAGGAAGGTGAAGGTAAGTAGCTGTGTCTTTCTACTCCTAACTGAGTGTCTAAGAGTGAATCCAACAGTGCGATGAAGAGCAACCGATATGCAATCAGTGTGTCAAGCAGAAAGCAGATTGCGACATTAACTCCAAGTCAACCAGCAACTTTCGCCAATATGAGCTTCTGGACGGGCCCACCCTCACCCCCAGTCAAGCACCAGACCTCAACATGATGGACCTAGAGCTGATCTATCACTGGACACTCTGGACCCACGACTCACTCACACTCAGTCCCCTACTTCGGACTTTCTGGCTCAGAAATACCACCAAGGTAGGCTTCCGCTGCGATTATGTCATGCGGAGCATTCTTGCTCTCTCGGCTGTTCACCTAGGTCATGTCAACCCCCTCAGAAGCGAAACGCTCGTTCGGTATGCCCTTACTCAGCACAACCTGGCTGCCGCAACTGTCAGGGAGTTGATACACCACAATAATGATTCAAAAAGTACGGAAACAGCAGAGAACCTGTTCTTGTATTCCGTTCTCATCAAATTCTATGGTAAGCTGTAGCCATGGCTGGACTCAGGAACATTGCAACCATGTCTAACGTCCGTGTAGTCATCTCTCAGACCGATGAACCCCACGCCGCCTTTTTCGGTCGCACCGGAAAGACGGAAAACGACACTCCAGACTGGATGGCACTCTTCAAAGGCTCTCGAAATCTCTCGCTGGTCTCGTCGTTACTCGTTAGCCGCAGCCTTACCCATCCCCTCATTGAGCACATGGTGCAGATGTACTCCTACCGGGATCTCGTTGCTCATGGTCCCTACCTCGACTCGCTTCTTTGGCACATGAACACTGTGAAAGATCGTTGTTCCACGTCAGAGATTTCCACTTACTTGCATGCAGCTCAAGAACTAGAAGCCACTTTCGGGGTGTTGCGCGAGTATCCTGAGACCCGAGAAACAATCCATGCCTTTCTCCTGGTAAGCAATGTGTCAGACCACAGGGGAGACTTCATTGCCTTGCTCCAACAGCCCGAACCATCACAGGAGGCCCTGGTGATCTTCACGTACTTTTGCATGATCCCACGACGGCTTCCACCGCGCTGGTGGTCAGAGAAGTGGATCGAGGGGCTTGGAGATGGTGCTTTCAGCTTGCTTGACGATGAGCATAAGGATTGGATTGTTGAGCCACCATCTTGGGACAGCTAGATATGCCCATACTTTAAGGTGGAATACAAATAATCGAAGAAGGTCATGCGGGCAAATGGAAATCGATTCTTCGAAATTCTGTGAATTCTGTTTCTGTCTACGTCTACTAATCTCAAGTGCACTCATGTCGTTCGACTGTCAGCCACCAAAAGCTCCAACAGAGGCCCTCTCACAGCTTCCTCGCAGGGAAAGCTGAGTAGCTCACCGACCTTGACCGCGGACGGTCTGTCTGACGTTAGGATAGCAAATATCGGGTCTTTCAGAGCGAACTCGATCTGGAAGTCTAACACCAGATCTCGGAATCGCTCCGTAAAGTCAACACGACTTATTCGAGGAGGTTGAGCGAACCGGATCATCATTTTGCTATCTCCCGTAGAAAATGCAGCGACCGGTATCTGCACCAGAAGCCCAGCAGATAGGTGATCTCGAGCAGACAGGCTGACGCTTGCCTGGTCTGTCTCGGAGTCCCCGATCAACACCTTGACTCCAGACCCGATCTCGCTCTCAAGAACACCCATGAATCTGACTTTCCAGTCTCGACCGCCTGGCTTGTCGATGGTCAGTTGACCTGACTCTTGACTCCATTGAATGTTGATAGACCGCTCCAAACCCGCGCCGCTGTCTTCAGACCAGTCATCCCTAGGACCCTCAATAATCGTGAACATGCCATCTTGGCCGACAGCCACCAGAATTTCGAATGATGTGGGGTTCTTTCCGCCATTCATCGGGATTTTCGCAGCGTCCAGGGGGATGATGGAGCCCTCAGGTGCAAGCACTGGCATGTTCGTCAGAGTGCGCCATAGTTGGATCTCTCTGTTGCTATCATAGACGGTTCCAGTGAAAATGTCGATATAGCGAGCTGCTGTTGGTGGGAGCCAGACTTTGACAGGCGCATGAAGCGTCTTTAGGTTGGCTGGGTCGACTATAGGGGCCGCGACGAGGGATGGACCAAAGAAGTATTGATTGGGGTATGCAAAGGCCTCCTTCCTCGAAGGAAACTTCCAGTAGAGAGGCTGAACGAGTGGCTCGTCATCTTCAGCGAACTTGGTATTCAGAGTGTGGAGGTAGGGGATCAGCCTGTGACGGAGCTGCATGAAGCAAGTGATCACGCGCTCCGAGGCTGGCCTATAGTTCCAGGGCTCCTTGGATCCCCACGGAGTATCGCAAGAGTTCAGGCGCATGATGGGTGAAAAGACACCTAGCTGTACCCATCTGGCAACCAGCTCATCGTCTCGACAGCCATGCATGTGGCCACCAATATCGTGCGACCACCAACCGTAGCCGACGTTCGCAGCGGTGGCCGTGAACTGAGGCTGGAAGCGCAACGAGTCCCAAGTGACAATGGAATCTCCAGAGAAGCCGACAGGGTACCTCTGGCTACCGGGGCCAGCATAGCGGGAGAAAGTAAGAGCTCGGTTCTCTCCATCAGTTTGCTTCTGGTCGAGGAACTGGAAGTGGTTGAGGAGCCAGAGAGGGTCTAGACCAGGGACACTGGAGTAGGGGCCTTGCTGCCAGTCAATCCACCAGAAATCGCAACCCTTTTTCTCCAAGCTGCGGTGAAGAATTTTGAAGAAGGCTTCCATGAATTTGGGGTCTGTTGGGTCGAAGAGAATTGGTGTCTTCTCAGATGTATCATGCCCGAGGAAGGCGGCCATCTCTTCATACTGCTCCTCGTGATGTGCGATACCGACATGCGGATGGTCGTTCAGCGTCATTTTGAGGTTTCGTTGATGCAGTGCATCGGCGAATGCCTTCGGGTCAGGGAAAAGCTCCTTGTTCCAGGTGTAGCCGGTCCAGCCCGAATGAGGCACCTCATTCCCATCAACCAAATGCCAGTCCATATCCATGACGGCAACGGATAACGGAATGTCCTTGTCGCGGAACTTGTCCATCAGTTCGATATATGAATCAGCCGTGTACTTGTGGAATCGACTCCACCAGTTCCCGAGTGACCATCGAGGAAGTCGTGGAGTGCGTCCGGAGATGTCGAAGAAGGCCTTCATGGCGCCCTTGAAATCGCTTCCAAATGAGAATAGATATCCGTCCACGCGATCGCCCGGTCTCCTCGGGGCGACAAACCCTTCTCCGTCGAACAGCATGCTGTTGCTATCGTCAATGACTGAGAAGCCCGCCCGAGAAAGGACCCCAGAGCCCATATCGCATCGCCCGTCAACACCATCGAGAGTGCGTGCCGTCCCTCCAAGGTTGAAACCTGGCTCTGTTCCAAATCGCCACGTAGTCTCCCACATGGTTGTCTGATGTGTAACTTCAATGGTGAGGCCATTGGGGCTGAAGCGTTTCTTGTCGTACGAGACGTGGATAGTCGGCGTGACGATCTCGAGGCGGTGCTCTTTTTCTTTGATGAGAGGATTGTGCTTTCGGGGAAAGCGTCGGTTGATGGCAAACGTGGAGGCTCTATCTTCGAAGACGTTGTCTTCGGCCCATTCATATCGAAGAACGAAGTCGTTGATGACTGTGAAGCGGTAATTTGGCCCGATTATGATCGCGTCGCTGTCCGCGACAGGGTCCGTCTCGAACTTGAACTGTGCCATTTCTATGGGTGTCCAAGTCGTAGTCGTGCACCTCACGATCAGAAGAGTGTCCACAGAAGAATGCGAGGAGGTCATGATGGCGGTGACATAAAAAGACCTCGTTAAAATTTGAGAGCGACTAGTTTTGGTCATTGCTCTGTGCCATCCTCTAATGCCGTGGGTGCCATTTCAGCACCCCGCCCTTAGCCGCAACGATCTGGAAATGTTCGCCGGGATTTCGCTTGAATTTTTCGCCAGAACTTTTCGCTTTCATCACCTTTGTGATGCTCGCTGAGACCTTCTCCACAATGATTTCAGGGGTAGGTAGTCATGATATTATCGACGGCAGACACGACCTGTAGGAGCAACCTAATAGTGACGAAGAATTAACGATAAATATAAGGAGGGTAGTTGGAGCGAGATGGGATTTGACAGGGTACATCACAGACGCAAAGAAGGATGCATTGAGGTTGGGAATCAAAAGCACGACCTCTGGTCCTGTACATTTTGTACTATGATCGAAGAGCTCCCGATGCTTCGCCGTATACATGATCGCTAACATGGTTGTTTCTCCGTGGTGGCCCGCATTGTTAGGCTCAGCCCTTTTCTGCTGGTGAATCGCTAAACATAATACTGAAGGAATATTTGATTTTCCCCAACAGTCCTTTCATTCTCGCCATCGTCCGTAGGGGCTTCTGGCTCTGCAAGCCCTATGAGCCGAACACTAGGCACTGGAAGCTGTACCTCGGCCATGAAAAGTTGGAGCTTCTTATGGAACAAAGATTCTTCGCCTCCTATAAGAATCAAGGCGCTCTGAAGGGCGTGTAGGGTGTCTCTCGCCCCAAGAAGCATGCCGGAGCCAGTGGGCCTGGGACCACCCGGGAGTCTCCTGTTGCAAGCCAGCAAGTCCACTAAGGAGTCGGCGATACGGAAAATCTTCAGCTCCTGTGTCGCCGGAAGAGCACGATTAGCCGATGCATACGTGTACATGTCAACGCAAATGCCGGGGTGACACCAACCATTCCGTATCCATGGGTCTGGATCGCCTGTTTGGAGACAGACGAGAAAAGCTTTACGGTCTCGTGAGCAACTGAGGCGGGTCTAAGTATGCTCAGCATGGCGTCATCCATGTTACTTGACATCTGATAGTGTCGAAGAGCGTATTGCCACCAGAGTATGTGAATCCAGTTCCAAGTGACCATGACGTTGACTCGCTGAATTTCAGGGAGTGTCGGTCCAATCGCTGAAACACTGCATTCAGCCATGGCTGACACCCCACGGTAGAGGTTGTCTTCGGTGCGTGGGTCCGATTTTGGTGTTTGCCTTTCTCTTGTCATCAGGAGGGTGTCATCGAGCAACGTGAAGAGCTGAGCAAGCATCTGAAATGATGGGTCCAGCCCGCCTATTCCTGTTATGAGGCAGTCCAAAGACGGCCAATCTTGAATAGGTGAGAGGCAGGTCGGAAACCCATTTTGGACACAGAAGGTTCTGGAAGAGGAGTCAGCTATGTTGGCCTCGCCTAACTCGCTTTCAATGGGGTTGTAGCTGGATTTGGGGGGTATTCATACCGCTCAGTGACAAACACCAGCCAAAAGATCCGCAACATGAGCTCCCTCTGCTCATTTGGAAGCTGATTGAATGTTTCGGGACGATGTAGGTTCTGAAGAGAAAGTTGGGCAATGGCTTCATGCAAGTACATTGCCCCAGCTCGGATTCTTTCCGTGTTGGCAAAGTAGATGTGCAAGAAGAATGCGGTCAGCAGGGAGTCGATCGACTCGCTCTCACGGTAACTGTGTTGGTCGCGCAAATGTTGCGCGTGACGAGCAAAACTTTCCGCAATGTCGTTTAAGTCAGACATGGACCCATTTTGCTTCGAAAATCGCAGTTGAGAAAGCCGAAGTTGCGCGATGACGGTGGCGCAGACCGCTCCAGCCAGTGCGTAGGCTTCGTAGTCATCGGGGGAGTTGCTAACGAGTCGGGATACCAAAGAGTCGATATCCACAATCGGCCAGACCCAGATGAGACAGTCCTTAAATTTGGTCAAGTATTTGATGTAAAGCCGAAGTGGCAACTTGGCATTGTCGTGACCTTGAGTCCCCAGAGGAGATAGTTGTGGGCTATCCAAAGAACTGCTCTGCGGTCTCGAAAATTGTCTTTGACGTTGTCGAACTTGCCAATCTTCGCCAGTTGAAAGAGGCGACTCCAAAGGTGTTTGTGGGGTTTTCGGGCTCTCGGTGCTTGATTGAAATTCTTGATCATTCCGAATCTGTTCCTGGTACTGCACTATTTTGTTGGAAGTACTCATCCGAGGTCCTTTCGGACCTCTCTTGCGAGGAACTCGAAGGAACGTGCATTTCAAAGAGCGCTTCCGGCACTCGGTGCATGGGGGCCCTCCATTGCATCGTACTCTCCGCAAAGAGCACCCGTCGCAGGGGTTGCTCACGCGTGTCTTTCGCTTTTCCATGGTTCGGTTGCTGGTAATCACTGTCAGGATAGAACATATTCCGACGAGATATTCAAGAGTGAATACATGATAGTTGAAGACAGTTGCATGTCAAAGGGGATTTCAACCGAATAAATCAACCGAACTGCGGAGGTGGGGAAGCTGGGTGCGTGCGCTGATCTGCTGGCCGGCGAGACGCTGTTGACATTCTGCCCAGCTGTTAGACTGGAAGTCAATGGGGAGTTTCAACGAGAAATAATGCGACGGCACAGTTCCGACCTTTTCGCTTGAATTTGTCGCCTAAAATTCCCCAGACCTGCCCGCATATCCACATAGAACAAGGAAGCTAGAGCCATGCAGGCTAGTATGCCCGTGGCTTGCGTTGTTTAGTCACCTGGTTTTTTCCAGACGGACGGAATACCAAAGACACCAACAGCATCTTGGCAGTTATCACTGACAAGTGCTTCCAAAGAAGATTCTATTCCCAAATTCTATCCTGACATATATATAGCATGCGTTTGGGAATGAAACGTTCAGACGGTTCACCCAGATTTCCCCAGACTTCCCCAGTTTCTCCAGATTCCTTCGACAGCCAACGCCATGAACCATTCCAGCCAAGGCGACTCCAAGTCGGCAGAAGCAGTGACTGATGCAGAAGCCTTGGAGAACCAGAACTCAGACTGCCTGAGCAAGATGGGCTATGTCTCTCAGGACGCCCAAGCGGCCACTGAAGATCAAAAGAACATGTCTGTTTTCGAATCATTCAAGGCATAACCGAAGGCGGTGGGATTTTCGATGGTTCTTTCACTTTGCATTGTCATGGAAGCATACGACACTTCGTTGATCGGCAACTTTTACGGTCTCCCTCAATTTAACAGGCGGTTCGGCGAGCGATTGGCCAATGGCGACTACCAATTGACTTCGACTTGGCAGTCAGGCTTGCAAAACGGCACTCAAGTTGGCCAGATGATTGGCCTTTTCTTCGGCGGCATTCTTGCGGAGCGGTTTGGTTACAAGAAGACGTTTCTTGGTGCTCTGATTCTCAACATCGCTTTCATCTTTCTTTTCTTCTTTGCGCAGAATATCGGATTCCTGCTGGCTGGAGGAATGCTGTGCGGTTTGCCTTGGGGAGCATTTCAGACTCTTACCACTACGTACGCTGCAGATGTAACACCAATGGCGCTACGACCGATGTCCGTAATCCCATCCTTTTACTTTTTTCTGTTTGGTTCCTAAATCATCTGTCCTCTGTTTACAGCCCCATCAAGGGATCATACAGCTAATCATCTGGCTACTTTAGCATGACCACGTACACCAACCTCTGTTGGGTTATCGGGCAATTTATTAGCACAGGAGTCCTTCGAGGTGTGCTATCACGAACTGATGACTGGGCTTGGCGTATTCCTTATGCCATTCAATGGGTGTTTCCGATCCCCATCATCGTTGGTGTTCTCTGCTGCCCCATATTGGACGTCGCACACTCTACGTCGTTGGCCTCAGCATCTTATTCACCATCCTCTTTACCGTCGGCTGCATGGGCATTCCTGCCCCAACGGCAGGCTTGGGCTGGGCTTCTGGTGCTCTGCTGATGCTGTTTGTAATCACGTACGACATGACTGTTGGGCCGGTATGCTACTGTCTGGTGGCCGAAATCCCCTCGACACGTCTCCGCATCAAGACCGTTGCTCTCGCGCGAAACTCGTACCTCCTTGTCAGTATCGGCGCAAACTTTCTTAACCCGCCAATTCTCAATCCGAGCGCCTGGAATCTTCGCGGGAAAGGAGGCTTCATCTGGGCGGGTATCTGTTTCTGCGAACTGGTTTGGGCTTATTTCTACCTCCCCGAACCTATGGGACGCTCCCCTGCAGAGCTGGAGATGCTCTTTGAGCAAGGTATCAGCGCGGGCAAGTTCTCATCTACGAAGGTGGACGTGTTCTCCAATGTTAGTTCGGAGAAGAGCGACGCCACTGTGGATATGGTTGAACATCGATAAGTGACGGTGATGGGCAACTTGATTTGAGTCCTGGCTAATTATGCCATCCAATGACGTAGACACAATTGAAATTGACAAGGAGGTGCATTGAGCCTCTTTACCGATAAAGATTCAATCCTTTTCCGTCGCAAATTTCATCTAGACATTTCCGTTTACCCATATGCACTGCACATCGGATATGTCTACAGGCGACGCCAATGCTGCCGTCTTCGCGACTTGCCATATTGGGCCCTGACCCGCCCATAATCCCACCACTTAGATGTTAATACGTCCTGCTCTTTGCTGCAAGTAACGGGGGAAATGGATATGTTCTCGCATTTCAATTCCGCAACCTCGTATTGTGTCAAAAGTTGATGTAAGTTTCGGCGCGTTCTCTGGCCATTTTCCACATTGCCAACCTCAAGTGAGGGGTTGTCGCTGCTTCACTGCCGATCGCGGCACAACATCAACCCGGACGTGATTGCACATCGTTCTTGGAAACACCCGAAGTTCACAACGGCTCTTCGCAGTGCTAGGTAGTCGTGACCCAGTTAGGAGACAATGAGTATAAACGCAGAGGCTGCCTCCACGAATCGAAGGTTGCGCAGATGTTGCAATCTCAACCCGCATTCTATTATTTGTATCTGAACGCAAAGCCATTTCCTGCATACTGCTCAACAACATGAAGTTCGTTTCTCTACTTACAACTCTGGGCTTCGTGTCCGCTTTTGCTGTCGCTGCTCCTGCCACCAATGGCAACGCTGTAGAAATGCGCCAGACCCGCGACGGCTTCTATTGTCAGGAATGTGTGAACGGCAAGAAGGACTGTGTTGCCTGTACCGACGGCACTTGCTTGGGATGGACATACGACTGCTAGATGGTAAGTCATGCAGTTCCGACTGTTTGTCATTTCAGCAAGTCCTATGAATCGAATTCGCTGACAGCCGGTTGTTCATAGCGAGATCTAGTTGACAGCGACCGGTTTTAACCCCCGGACTCTGTTTGCAGCGTCCGAGAGCACTTCCGGGACGAGGCAAGAGCCTCAAGGGTGCCCAATTGCAAATTGTCAAACAGATCAAAGAATACAGACAGTCATTTCCAGCTATTTAGCTACTAGCTCGAGTCTTTGATAGTCAATACAGTATGGAGACGATGAATTATCTCTATAAGTGAAGCTTGGTCTAATAACAGACGAACGCTATGTAAAAACCGTTCATACCCGGCACAGGCGACCATTCTGCGTCGGCAGCCCATCAAGCTGGCGTGTGACGTACCAATCATCACTTCCAACACCCAAGTTGGCATAGAACACTCCGCTGGGATCAATCTTCTGCTTGAACGCAAGAAGACGAGCGTACTTTTCCGTTCCATAGAAAGACTGTTTGAAGTCAGGCTCAGTGACATCACCTTCGCTAGCATAGCCGCCACCTCCAGGCGTGACATTCCGCCAGGGCTGCATCCACTCGTTCGTCAGGAGCTTGGATCTCTCGGCAGCTACTTCCATGGAAGAACCAACGGGCCATCCGATGACTGAGATGGCGAACATGGCGGCTCCACGCCACGCCGGGTTGACGGCGTTATCGGGGTAGGGACCGGGGCCACCGGTGATTCCGAAGCCGATAATCTCGCCGCCCTTGTCACTCAAGCCCTTGATTGCTTCGAAAGTGGCATTGAACTTTGTGGCATCGGCAAAGTTCTCGGTAGGGAAGAGACGGCAAGCAGTCTTAGCAGCCGTGCCACCAACGAGCTCCTTGGGGAAACCGGCCTTCCAGGCAGGCAGGAAACTCTTGTGTTCGGAGTATACAGGGGAAACATTGACGCCGAGGGCGGCCCACTTCGCAAAGAGAGGGGCAGTGAGGCCCTTGAGCTCCTGCAAAGTCATGTTGGGGGCGAACCAGGGAAGCATGGTGAAGGTGAGTGTTTCCGGTCCAGTGTGGAAAATGTTCCAGTACTCATAGTTGCCAGCAGCATTCCAGGTAGGCAGGCCCTCCCAGTAGGCCTTGACAGCGGCCCAAAAGGCATCGTTGGTGATGTTTGCGCCGGTGCTGAAGCTGAAGGTCATCACGGCAACGTTGTCGAGCTTGGGGTAAGCCTTGACAACGTATGAGGTCACGACGCCGAAAGTATCTGGAAATGATCAGCTAGGGTGTCTCAATGTTGTTTGATAAGAAAGGCTCACTGCCACCACCACCACGCAGGGCCCAGAAGAGCTCAGTGTTTTGGTTCTCGTTGGCGGTCACGAAACGGCCATCAGGGGTAACAACATCAATGCTCAGGACCTAGAAACATGATTAGAGATGTTATGTTGCATGCAGAGTTGTTAAGTTGTTTTTACCGAGTCAGCAGCGATGCCATACTTGGGTGACATTGGCGAGTGTCCACCGCCGGCAAGGTAGCCTCCGGCGTAACCAACAGTCATGCCTTCTCCGCCGACTGCGGTCACGCCATATTTCTCGGCGGCCTCATACAGCTCGAATCCTTGCACACCAGCGCCAACCTTGAGGGCCGGGCCAGAGTAGGATCCTGTGTTGTAGTTGTTGTAGAAGTTGATACTCTTGAGGAAGTGAGTCCAGACGGACAGAGCACCTGACCCGGAAGAGCGACCGTTGAAGTCGTGGCCAGTGTTCTTCACAACTAAGCGCAGGTTGAGGTTACGAGCGAAGTTGACGGCAAGTTGGATTTGGGCCACGTTGGTAGCCTTGACGACGTACGAAGGGTAGCCACCAACGGTGCAAGTACCAGCAGAGATGTTGTTCACGCCGGAAGGCATACAAGTGAGACCTTGGTACAAGGGACTCATCACCGACGTCGGGTCCTCCGTGCTTTAGAATGATCAGTCTAGTTCACATAGGTGATGTAAGCATCTTACTGGGTTGTTGAGTTCGTCCACTCGTTGGTGATGTACTCGCAGCGAGCAGCATCGTAGTTCCCAAAGTCGTCGTAGCAAGAAGCACCAATAGGTACTGTCTCACTCACAGCAAATCCACTGAGAAGGTTGAAGACACTCCAGATAGGCTTACTTGGCCACAGAAGGTCGCCAGGGTATGTCTTGCACTTGTTGAAGGTGCGGGCCGAGCCAGAGCGCTTCTCGCCTGTCGATGTAGTGTCAAAGTCAAACAGAGACACATTAGATAGGGAGAGGTCCGTGAGGTTGGTCAGCACAGCATCAGTCAGCTGTACTGTCTCCTCTTTCAAGAGATCGCCAGTCAATGCTTCCGCAGCCGGGGCGACGGTCGATTCGTTGGCCTCTGCGGGATGTTAGTTATGATGCCAGGCACCCACACTACACTGTCCCTCAGGGGTTCATGCAGACTGCAGAGGCGAAACCAACATACCGAGAATGGCATCATCAACAGTGATCGTCTGAGCGCCCGCCAAGTTGGCTAGAGGCACGGCGGCTGCCAGGAAGAGGACCTGGCTGAGGCGAGACATTGTGCGTGCCAAGAACGATGGGTGGTTGCAGAGAGCTGAAAAAGATTGGACAGAGGGCGTGACAAGGTGGGCGTGAGCGTGCCTGTCAGACAAAACCTCCAATTGTGATCGCCTGTTTGTGGCTGGCGGTGCGGGAGAAAAAAAGGCGAGCAGACATAGCGAGCTGCACTCTTGGATTTATAACATCCACGTGGGAGCGTTGCATCAGTTCATCGGACCTCACATAATGCCGTTGGGTTGATAACATGAGAGAAAAAGAGATCATTCTGGTGCCGACTGGTCAATAGCATCTTGTCGGCTAACTCACATCCTGGACAATGCATGCGGATATGGGGAACAGGAATCGATAGCGGGACGGCCACGACATCAGCCAGATTGCGAGGACGTGGAAAAAGGCGACGTTAGGACGAGAAAAGGCCTCGGGCCCGCCCCCGGGAGGCAATGCACCGGGGGCCGGGTCAGCTTACTTGGATCTAGTATTCTTGTCTCTTTGGGCCAGGCTGTGGCCAAGTCTCGGCTAGGAGAGCAACATCAGTGGCGCGTCGAAAAACCCCGCGCCAGGAGGTTGCAGCGGCACAACATTGCCAACATTGCCAACATCGGCATTGACAAACGGCGCAGGGTTTGGTTCTCCAAGACCGTGGATGCAGGTCTTCTTCTAGATCTTCTGCCGCAGCCGTTGAACGCAGCGCACACCCACTAGCAACTAAGCGCGAAGTCTGTGGGCAAAACCTGCCACAGCCGGGCCGGCGCGAGGTTCGTCTCTGGATTTGACATCTCTGCGGCGGCCGAAGCGCTTTCAGACTTTTGCGAATCTTGTAGGTTGAACATGCAGTCCAGACCTGAAGAAAGAGTGGCGCAGAGAGTGTCGGGAAAGGGAGATCATTCATCTCGGGCAAGGTCCCCGGTGAACCTTCTGCACGCTTTGTCCCCCTTCAGGCTCCGCATCTCCGCATCGCTCCCCCGTCTCTGCTGCCTTTCCGGCTGTCCGCGTCAGTCAATCTCCACTGCAGAAATCAGGGGACCCTTAAGGGAAAGATGGGATTCTGGGCGCGAGAGTGAGGGATTTGCGCAGCCTTTATCCACATAATAAGGGATGCGGATAGCTCCGCGGGAAGCATACGAGTTTATTTTGTGATCTGCTATCGTCCAGGAAGCTGTCCCGCAACCACAGATCTCATTGTGTGAGCGCTGACAACTTCCATCTGAATCAAGATCAATCCCACGACTATCTGGGTACCCCAAGCACATACCGATTGACCACTCATGGTGACACGATGTACTAGTTTGCAGGCTAGAAGAGACGAAGAAATTATTTGCCGACCTAAGGGGCGTTTTATGCTGCATGATTGCATGCAATTTCAACTGCATCTCTGCGGCGTAGCAAACTCTCTTTCCTTGGACCCTGTCGCCACGTCTGGGGAAGAGGTAACACGCGGAAATCAGCAATACCGCTAAGTCAAAAGGTCGTGAGCCGAGTCGTCAGCATCTTGGTGCGATTCGTGTCTGCGGGCTTGGCCAGGGTTAGTTTCCACCTCGCTAATCCCCCCGGCATGCCCTCTTCACCAACAGAAAGGGCCTCGGTTGGCTTGGAAAACGAGGAGAATGTCGTATCGACGCAGAGGACATCCGCCCTCAGTCACATTTTTTGATCTCACATCCTGGCCCCATTTCCCGGGTACAGCGACGCCTTACTGAAATTGTGCTTCAGTGCGAACTGAGCTAATCGACGACGACGTCGTATTCGCGGCGTAGCGAACAGGTAGGTAGCCAACGGAATATGCTAGAGATTCATCGTTACGCTAGTTTTTGGGTTCGCATATGCAGAGGTTCAATCCTGTTTCGTACAGCGTGGGGTTCTTCAGCAACGACGCTACGCCACGGGTTGACTAGCTCCGCGTGAGGACAACAGTATCCATCTGGACGTGAAGATTCCATCGCGTTGGCACCGTCTGAACGGTATCGTCCTATGATGAATAAATGTTCAATTTTATGCCTGTGCGTTCGTCGGCTTGTTCCATCTCGACTCCATGTTTCCTGGGAAGCCGAGAGGCACTGACAGGAACAATCATGGGATGAATAGCGTCAATCCCCGAGGAATACGAGCTGATGAACTTCTCCCGGTTCCATCCAAATAGAGTTTTGCATTATATGAAATCGCACGATTGATCCTTGTCAAGAGACAGTACACAGCTGCAGGAACTTGATATCGAGAGAGCCCTTCATGTTCGAGAACGCATCATCCCTGACCAGCCCCTGGCACTCCTCGGCCGCTATCCCGCAGCTGACCACTCACAACTTTGGGAATTCCGTCTCCTGAAGCCAAGTCTCGGATATGCAGAGCCCTAGTCCTTCCAGACAGATCCTCTGTGGGAGGCCGGAGGCAGAAGTTCCCTCTTGGTGGCGGCGGAGAGGCCCTGAATCATTTTACTAGCGCCTTATGTTCCGGCTAGGGATTCAGCAATACCACCCAAGGAGCGGAGATTTGAAGAACTCCAACCAGTTTCTGAGGTGCTAGGCTTCATTCTGCCCTGTTCTCAAAGACTTCTTTGACCGGGAGCTTGCGAGACGAGGTATGAAACTAGGCTGTGTGGTCTGCACGTCTGTCACGATTAGGGTACCAACAGACGGGATCGAAATCTGGGTTTCTTTTCTCCACGCGACGCACGATGGGCTTTCATTCAAGCCTACCCGACGGACGACTGAGGTCAGCCACACTGGCTTCTCCTTTTGTGAGCGTACGGGATAGCGAGTGATTATACATGCCATCAAAGAGGTTGAAGCCCAAGCCAGCGAACGATCTCACCATCGGCGACAGACAGTACGGAGTGTAACCTTACAGCAGACCTTTTTCTACGTCCAAGAGGTCGATAGAGATCTATCAATCTGTATATATCTCACGAACCATCCCACGGGCCCCATCGCGGCCACCCGAGCTCCCCGTTCGTCTTCTCCCCTGGCCTGCTCACCCCCACTGATAAACATTTTAACTTCAGTGCCCAGGCTGCGGGAGTTCAAAGTTTACATTTACATACTCTTTCCCGGAGTTTCTGATGTTATCCCAGGTCATGGAGTCTCTGTGGCAGCGAGGCATCGAAGCCGAGTGGAAAGATGTCCGAGATATCCCGTCAACGCCTCTTCAGCAGGTGGCGATGGCGATACTGTTCCTATTCACCTTTACAGCATTACTGAGCTACGTTTTGAGAATGTACAGCAAGTTCACCACAAAGCAGATTGGCCTCGGTATGTAAATCTCATTGCATGTACTTTGAACAACCATTGACCAAATATTCAGACGACTACTTCATGACCGGTGCAATGGTAAGGATCCTTCGGCAGTGTGCCGATAACGAGCAAAGTCTTGCCTAACACCAGTGGATGATAGCTCTTCTCTCTCGCGCTGCTCGTTCCGACGTACATGTTCTTCAAGTACTACTACATCGGCTTTCCAACGTCGTCGCTGCCCGCCGACTGGGACCCGGCGCCGATGCTGTTCTGGAATTGGATTCTGCAGGTTCTCTATAACCCAATTCTGGCCCTCGTCAAGTCATCTGTGCTCGTCTTCCTCTTGAGACTGGGCGGCCACCAGCGCGGAGTAAGATGGACCATTTACGTCCTGAATACGATCAACCTGCTCACGATGGTTGCTATCTTTCTGACGGTCCTGTTCCAAACCATACCCATCAACGCTTTCTGGGATATGAGCGTCAAGAAACAGAGAGAGATCGACGGGCCCTTGTTCTACATCGTCAGCGCCATCATCACCATCATCACCGATTTCTTCGTCCTCGCCATACCGTTTTGGATCTTCCTGGGATTGAAGATGCGCATGGCCGCCAAAATTGGCTTGATTGTGGTGTTCCTAGCGGGTGGAGTGTAAGTCGCTGGCCATGGGCTCACTGACTTTCGTTGTGCATTTTACTGACAATCGCCAAGGTCCATCGTCGTGGCGATCATGCGAGTACACGAATTGCGAAAGAAGTTCTACAACTTAGACCCAGGTTACGATGCTAGAGACGGAGTCGGGGACACCTACAGCGCCATCGAAGTCAACCTTTCCATCATCGCCGCGTGCGTCCCTGCTCTACGACCCCTTTTCCGCAAATGGATGCCGGGCATGTTCTCCAACAAAAGCAGCAACGACAACGGCGTCTACAACAACAGCCAGTATGCGCGCTACGGCACCGGGTACGGCACTGGAACCGGAACCGGCACAACGTCGAAGCATCACCGCAACACCGTCGGCAACGGCTTTCCATTGAAGGACATGCGCAGCACCCACACCGAGATCAGGGGTCACTCTCCAGACGGCAGCGAGGAGGAGATCATGACGTACAACGGCATTATGAGAACGACCAATGTAAGACAAAAGATGAAGAACGATATGATGGTTTGATGAGGATGCTAAAGGCTTTTTTTTTTTTTTTCAAGGTTCAGGTTACATACAATGATTCGAATTCTGTTATGATGGACAAGAATGGGGAATCGGGGCAGGAGCGTTTGGAGTCTGAGAAGCCGGTGAGACGGAACAGCAAGTTCGGCGTGGGTTCTGGCGTATGACAGGAATCTTGAGTGGCTCAAACAAGGGTGCATGGACTGATTCAGCATTTCCTTTGTCTTTCTGTAATGATATCAGGACGCAGCAGTGGGTGATATGGGTAGCTGGTTGGATGCCTGCCTCAGAGGCCTGGTTGCGCAATGAGGTGTCTTTCCTGTGCCGCAATGAAAATTAGCTTCATCGTCTGACACATACTTTGGCGGTCTTGGTTGTTCTTTTACCTCCTTACGTCAGTTCATCAGCATGATTCCCCATCTTTTGGGTTGCTACCGCAAACTTTCAAGAAAGATTAAAAACGCAGCACTCGTTGTAATGCTTTATGACAAAAGTTCGATTTATCTCGTCGATTGCAAGTCTGCGGGTGTAGTACAGTAGGGACACGACTTTTAAGGGGCTCAGCCACGCAAATGTGATTTGAAAACTCCCATAGTAGGTTCTGCTG